CTTGCCGATCTCGTAAAAACGAATCTATAATAATAAATAATAATAAATAATAAAAAATAATAATAAATAATAATAAATAATAATAATAAATAATAATAAAAACAAGGCGCTCTTTTACTTTGGTTGGGTCGCACGCACGCAACTACGCTCGCGCATGCCACGCCCACTGCGCATGGCTTCAGCCTAAGCGTAGTCTCGTCAGCCTAAGCCTAAGCCTGAGTTCGCTTGCTAGCCTCTGCTGTAGCATCCAGCGATCTGAGGCTACGCTTAGATGAACCTGAGGTCACCTTAGGCTGAGGCCATGCGCAGTAGGCGTGGCCTTAGTTGCTATAGACGAGCGTGCTCGCGTGCGTGTCCCCCAAAGTAAAAAAGTGCCAAAACAATAATAATAAAAATAAATCATCCCCAATCCTCACCTATTTCATCAATAAAAATAATCGTCGGTTGAAACTTCTCTGCCTGCAATAATAATACATAATAAATAACAATAATAAATAATAATAAATAACAACAATAATAGATAATAATAAATAATAATAATAAATAATAATAAACAATAATAAATAATAATAAATAAAAATAATACCAACGAGAACACGGCCGCAGCTAATTTCTGCGACTCCCCATACCACTTATCAGTCAAAATCGATATCTGTAAATTAATAAACGTCGCCTCAGCAGCTCGAGCCAACGCCTTCGCTATCAACGTCTTACCACACCCCGGCGGTCCGTACAGCAATACACCTTAATTATTTATTATTTATATATAATAATAAATAATAATAAATAATAATAAACACCTTAATTATTATTATATAACAATATATAACATTAAATAATAACAATAATAAATAACAACAATAATAACAGTAATAATATACAATAATAATAAACACCTCAATTATTATTACATAACAATAAATAACAATAATAAATAATAACAATATTATACAATAAATAATAAATAATAACAATAATAAATAATAAAAATAATAATAAAAATAAAAAATAACCCTTCGGAGGCGATAGCAACGCAGAGGCACGCACCAACGACTGGTGTTCGTTAGTAATTTTAAGGGGTAATATAATTCTGTCGTTTAACTCTTCTATCAAACTATCGCATCCCCCCAGATCTGACCAGTTCGCACCCTTAATTATTATTTTTTATTATATTTATTATTATTTATTACATTTATTATTATTTATTATATTTAATATAATAATAAACCTCGTTAGAAGATACGAATTGAGTGG